CTCTTTATTTAATTCTTTACAATGTACAGAACCATCCCCTTATTATTTTAACCTTAGCTACGACTCTGGGTGCGGCTGCGGGAGAGTGACTGTCCCAAAGGGGCCACCTCGTTCCTCCCGCCACTCTCTCCTCACGTCCAGGTTAAACCGAGTTCTGGTTGTGGAGAAAGAAAAAGGCATTTTACTTACCATCTTGGCTTTGGGGAAGACCCAGGAAACTCTTGGTAGGGAGGAAGGAGAAGGAGGGATACCTCTCCCTCGGGTCGGCTCCTTAAATTTATACAAAAACCAAGACCAACCCTTGTGCACATGAAAAAAAAATCCTGGGTGCAAGTTGTGCCAAAGAATCCACTGCCAGAAGGAAAATATTTGCTTCGTGAGTAGTTGGTGTTTGTTTTGTAGATGTGATAATAGGAAAGTATTTCATCAGCTTCAGATCAACAGGGGCAGAAAAAGATCGAACTATGGAGAGACTGAACATCTCCAGCAGAATGTGAGAAGTTGAAACAGCCAGATGTGCAGCCTCATCTCAGATTCCCACAAAATACCCCCTGCCCGTGTTGAGTACCCGGGAGTGTAGACCACCAGGCGATTGACTGTCCTACTCCAAGAAGTGGAATTTTGCTCGAGGGGAGTTGCGTACTCTCCCGTGGATCTTTCTGTTGAAGGTGCACAGCGCTGCTTTGCTCCAAGGAGTAGATAGTATTCCCAGTAATGCCTCAAAGAGTACCAAACTGTCTTCTTGGCCACATACAAATAAAGCAAGGCAGTTTGGAAATAGAATTAAATATCTGTTTCTATCAATAACTACAGTGAAAAGTATTTTTTGGAAATGGATATGAAACCCCACTGAATTTAGGGTGAAATATATGAGTACTTCTAAGAAAAAGAAATCAAGAATTTCCCAAAATTGGATTGAAAGATGGCTCACCCTCATGGTTTTCTTCTGAATTTCTTTCTATCATTTCCTTCTCTTGTATAGCCCACCCCAAAACCTTCTCCTTTCCCCAACTCTGCCTCTGTTATGCAACTATTTCCCTCTAACTGGGTCTTCTGGAGAAAGGAGAGATTCCTTCAAAGAGCAAGATGGCCCAATTCCTACCTGCCATGGTGGGGAAAATATTATATCTCAAACGATGGTAGATATGGACGCTGCCTGCTAACCACTCAGCGTCCGGTAAAAAATGGTCAGTAAGGCTGGAATCATTTAAAAGTGTTTACTCCTGTCCCTATGGTAACCCTGGACATTCTGAGATGCCAAGAGAATTTCCAGAGTAGAAGCTGATGATGAAACATGATGTCACTGCAGAAGGCAAAGAACGCATCAGTGATGGCTCTCAAGAGCTGAGCTTGGGGGGAAAGAAATCTTCTAGTCCTTCTCCTGACCACTCACCTTCCCTGGTAGATAATCTTCACTTTCCGAGAGGTGGGAAATAGCTTTCATTTTGGGCAGTAGATGACTTCTTTATGCCTTCAGCTAACCTGGGGGAGTGAAGGGGCTGAAGAGATTCTCCATCCAGTTCATTTTTGGAACGAAGAAACAAAAAGAAAGAAGTGGGTGTAATATTTACTTACTTTTTAGGATGATTAGGGTTTTTTCTCTTACAAGAATATGGAACCGTTTTTTATATTTTGAAAACATTTTAATATATTGAGAACTTTAACTTAACTTTAAATATTACAATCAAATCAGTAATTAGCAAGATACTCAAGGTAATAGGGTTATTAATTGAATTCATAATAATGTAATAGCAGTGAACAAGAATGTTTAACTAGTCTAAAACAGTACACTTATGGTAAAAAAAAGAATCTTTTGTTTCTAAATGTTATGTTAAAAGGAAGTCTAATTTCAAATATTTGATATATTAAGTTATACTCTATAAACAAAAAAATCCAAATAAATACATTTCTTTTTTAAATTCCTTAGCAGCAACCAGTGGACGTATGTGTGAAGCCCATTTGAAGCCTGTTAGTTAAAATCAAGGATGTCCCTGGTGGGAGAGTGGACTGGGGCTCTAAAATTCAAGAGGATGGCCATGGCCAAATGAATGAGGACCCTCGGTTTTAGGTGGGGGCTGCGATCAGGCTGCATGGCTGTGGCTTCCTGGGGTTTGGCCCCGGGTTTAGGGCAGCCATAGGGCAGATTAGGGGTAGACAGGGAAGTGGGGGGGGGGGGAGTTGAGCTTTTTGAGGAGGGGCCAAGCCTGGACTGTTTGTACTGGGATGGGTGTTTGCATAACGACCCTCTCTTCTCAGTGAACGACCACAAGCGTGACCGCTGGGATGGTGATTGCTAAGCAATGCGGTCATGGGACATATTGGTTGATGACCCCCTCATTGTTGACTGAAAGTCCAATCCCAACTGTTGTACGTTCCCAGCCTGTAGTCTTCCAGATGGACAAGCCCAAGTGGACGTTCTCCAAGGACAGCCAAAGCTGGGATAGCCATAATGTAAGGATATGTCCATTTCTTTCTCCCGCTCCTTGAAAACCTTGATTCTCCCCAACGAGGTCCAGCAGGCTGCCTCCTCCCTCTCCTTCTGAGCTTCTCGCTTCATCTTCTCCCGAATGGGCCGTTGTTCATCCGTGATGGGTTGCGAGACCTCCAGGTCGGGGGGTGGCATTCTCCAGGGTCTGAACGCATCCCCCTTATATGGTGGCGATGAAGATGGACCTTTGGGCACTGGGTCTTTGGCTGGTGCTGCAATATTGCTTGACTGTCCAACATTTGGTGCTAGAATGATGGTTTTTCCAGAAGCTGCAGCCTGGGTTGTCCAGCCCCTGCTGGGTGGAAGTGCAAAATCCGAGGTCTTTGTTGCAGGTGGGATTGTGGCAAGGGGCACCTGCTTCCCCCGGGTCTTTGGTGGCTGAGTAGGCACAGGCACAGGAATTAACGAGCGTTTCTGCCAAGGCGGTGATTGTGGCTTGGTCAGACGATGGGATGAAGGTTTGGATAGGGGGTATGAAGGTAATTCTGACACGGAGGATGCTGGTGGCTTGTATTGGGGATGCAGCTGAGAGGCAGGTAGAAAGTGCAATGGTGGCTTCAGTGCAGTGATCAGAGGTTGGGAAGATGGATTAGCTGATGATTTGGGCGAAAGCTTTGCCTTTGTGATAAGATTGTCTGGAACAGGCTCGTGAGGTAGAACGGAATGGACTTTCTTGCTTGGTAGAGACGAAACGTTCGGCTTCCCCAGTGGGTGAAACACTTGCACAGATTCCATCAGTTTACAAGCCAGGTTGGTCTTTAGCACTGGCTTTGGGGCTCCTTCTGCTTCTCTTCTGGGGCAGCACTTTCTGCTTTTTGTCCCACACAGGCTCACATTTTTCCTTGCTTCCTGTTTATTTTGGCTTTTAGGCGGACTCTTCTCCAAGCCTGAAGGGGTGTGGACCGTCTGAGAATCTTTGGAAGCAGAAGAGTCACATTGTTCACCAGGCTGTTGTGCAAGAAGTTCAAGAAGCGCAACCTTTGGGTCTTCATGTATGGTCAGAAGTTCAGTAGGCATCTTATCCTGGAGCTGATTTTGCATGGCTTCCAGAACACAGGGGAATATTTTTGTTTTAGGATCACCTTCTGCCACCTTTACAGAGATATTTTTGCAAGGTTTGTTTCGCTGCTGCCTTTTTGCCCTGGTCTTAGATGGCATTGGAGGCTGAGTTTTCTCCTCCTCCTTGGATTTTTTCGCTGAAGGCTCTTCTTCAGTCCAAGGGATTTTTCTTTTCCCTTTCCCTTTTGATGGCGGATGGAACTGACTATCTGGAAGGGATAGAAGGAAAAAACTGTTCATTGTCAGGAAACTCAGTCTGGAACCCCTGCTACACATTCAACTCATCCTTTATGCCTGACAAATGAGATCCTCCATGTTCTTCCCAGGAAGGTGATGATGCATCGCCCTACTCCTGCCCAGTATGAACCCAGATCTCTGAAAGTGGAAGGAAGGAAGGAAAGAAAGAAAAAAAGAAAGACAGAAAAAGAAAGGAAGGAAGAAAGGAAGGAAAGAAAGAAAGAAAGAGAAAGTAAGAAAGAAAGAAAGAGAAAAAGAAAGGAAGAAAGTAACAGAAAGAAAGAAAGAAAGAAAGAGAAAAAGAAAGGAAGGAAGTAACAGAAAGAAAGAAAAAGAAAAAGAAAGAAAGAAAGAAAGAAAAAGAGAGAGAGAAAGAAAGAAAGAAAGAGAGAGAGAGAGAGAGAGAGAGAGAGAGAGAGAGAGAAAGAAAGAAAGAAAGAAAGAAAGAAAGAAAGAAAGAAAGAAAGAAAGAAAGAAAGAAAGAAAGAAAGAAAGAATATGTCTTTGGAGGATACCAACCAGGTTGCTCAAACAAATGTTGCGCTACTTTTAGGCTCCCATCCTTTTTCAATATCCCCATTTGCCCCAGCTCTACTATGAGGAAAGGAAAAAGGACTGTCTTCAACCTGCGCACGCCATTCCCAAAGGAACAACTTCATTCCTGGTTCACAGTATTAGAATAGGCAGTCTACAATCTACAAGCCTGGGAATTTTCAGCAAAATTGGTTCAGCTGATGAACACCAGGCCAGTAAGTCTCTGGATTGACGTCTGTTATTGATTGGGGATAATTCTGAATGGGTTGTCTTCTCTAAAACCCAGAGCAACATTTCACACATCTTGGAAGAGCAGCTTCAGGCATCTTATAAAGTATCTACCCTCGGTTGGTGGACAGTCTTCTCATCTGCAATGCTTTGGCACTCACCACTCAGCCCAAAACTTTCGCCATGGTCTGGCTCTGATGCTTCTTGGTCTGGAGAGGCCTGTGGGACCTCAATCTCCATACTGGTATCTGACGGGTGTCCTCCTGGAGCTTGGCCCACTGAAAGAAAGAAGTCAAGAGGTGATTCTTCAAGGAAACATGCTCTACCATCTTTCTCCCAGCTGGGTTAAATCTTCACCAGTCTTGAAGTCCAGGATATCATCCAAAGGATAGCAAAAGTCAGTATCTGCAGGTAATACCTGGTACCAAGTATGATTAGCACTCACCTTCCAACCCAGGAAGGAGATGAGGAATGTCCTCCAAATCATAGTGTAAAGATGAAGAAGGAGCCAAAGGTGATCCCACAAACTGATGGTGGCTACTTCTTGGCTGATCCAGAGATCCTGGAAGATGGAAAGTGTCTTCAGGGGCTCTGACCTCTGAAAGAGTCAACAAGAGAAACTGAGTGGACTCTGTACCTTCAAAGCTGATCCTGTCTTGGTGGCTCAATCTGTCTGTGACTCCTATCAAGTTGTCCTTCAGAGTTCTACGGAAGTGGATGAAGATGCAGAAGAGGATGGAGATAGCTCTTCACTCAGTCCTGTGCATACCAAGCAGCTGGTCCTGTTTCATAAATTAACTCAAGAAACCTATGTTAAAGCATCTCGGTCTTCAAGAAACATCTCTTACTCTAGCTCTAACCTTTATTTAAAGACCTCCAGGAGTGTTGGCACAGGTGTCGTACATCTCTGGCTAGGTCTAATCTATGGCATTCTGGGGATGAGAGACCAAGTTCCAGGATTGCACAAGTAGCCCTCACCTTGCAAAGAAGGACCTGAAAGCCGATGGTGGGGGTAGGGTGGCCTGGGGATCTGCTGATGGTTGCCAGTGTCAGCAAGAGTTTCATACTGAGGTGGCGGAGGTGCGTAGAAAGGCTGAGGAAAGGCAGAGACGGGAGGGTTACAGGCTGCCAAGTTGGCTAGCTGCAGCTGTTCCCCATGGACGGTTTGGAGGTGCGAAACTCCTGGAGGTAGAAATGTTTGGAGGCTGGTGTTGCCTGGGATCAACCGAACAGGCAGATGGGGAAAAGGAGGCTGGATCCAAAGGTTGCTCAGAACTGGTGTTGCCATTCCAGAGAAGTTAGGAAGATTGCTTCCTAGAGCGGATACAGCTATTAGTATTGGGCAACTGCGAGGCGGAAGGTTCTGATTTTCCGGGGTGTCTGTGTTATGCACCTGATCTGTAAAACACATATAAAAAGAACAGAAGTCAGAAACCATATTTTCTGTTTCAATCAGAGAACATCTGTGATTCTTTTTTGGATCTAGGTCCTGATCATGAAATGTCAGGGAGGGTTAGAGTTAGGGTTAGGCTTCAAAGAGTACCAAACTGTCTTCTTGGCCTGCTAAACTTTTGATGTGATGAGGAAATAGAATTAAATAGATGTTTCTATCAAAAACTAGATTAGGAAATATTTATTGGAGGTGGATATGAAACTCCACTGAATATAGTGCCAAATATATGAGCACATCCAAGAAACAAAGTCAAGAATTTCCCAAAATTGGATTGAAAGATGGCTCACCCTCTTGGTTTTCTTCTGAATTTCTTTCTATCATTTCCTTCTCTTGTATAGCCCACCCCAAAACCTTCTCCTTTCCCCAGCTCTGCCTCTGTTATGCAACTATTTCCCTCTAACTGGGTCTTCTGGAGAAAGGAGAGATTCCTTCAAACAGCAAGATGGCCCAATTCCTACCTGCCATGATGGGGAAAATATTATATCTCGAACAATGATAGATATGGACACTGCCTGACAAGCACTTAGCATCCAGTAAAAAATGGTCAGTAAGGCTGGAATCATTTAAAAGTGTTTACTCCTGTCCCTATGGTAACCCTGGACATTCTGAGATGCCAAGAGAATTTCCAGAGTAGAAGCTGATGATGAAACGTGATGTCACTGCAGAAGGCAAGGAGCACATCAGTGATGGCTCTCAAGAGCTGAGCTTGGGGGGAAAGAAATCTTCTAGTCCTTCTCCTGACCACTCACCTTCCCTGGTAGATAATCTTCACTTTCCGAGAGGTGGGAAATAGCTTTCATTTTGGGCAGTAGATGACTTCTTTATGCCTTCAGCTAACCTGAATGGTCAAAAATTAGCATCCTTAGTCTGTTTCAGTTGTGCAGGAATAAGAGGATTTTGAGTTTTTTAACCACATAGATATCAATGTTTTTCATCCATTTCTATTTACTACTATTTTAAACAATTGCTGAAGTTCTCTAAAGTAAACAATTTTTATCCGGGGGGGATGTATTCAAAAGTTCCAACATCAGGTATTGGTTCCAATATTGATAATAATAATAATAATAATAATAATAATAATAATAATAATAATAATAATAATAATAATAATAATAATAATAATAATAATAATAATAATAATAACTTTATTGTCACTTTGAAAGTACACCAATCGGCATACATCAAAATGAAATTTCATTGCATACAGCTCTCAAAGGGTCTTCTGATGCAGAAGAGGCCTAAGAGGTTGTGTCCTCAGCCCAACAGCCCTTGATGGTTTGGTGATTGTAACACTTCTCTACATTTCAGGACTATCGTATGAAAATATGGGTCGCTAAAGATTTAATATCAAAGGGCCATCCCTCTGAGCTGTAGATCTTTGGATGTTGGCGATATCCAAAGCCTTGCTGGATGGCCCTCTGTCCAGCTGTGCCCAAGAGATGGACGTTGTGTGACTTTTGGACTTATGATACAATGCTGCAAAGGTGGACTGACCACAGCCTTTGACCATTTTGTTTCTTTCTCCTTCATCTTGTTTTTATAAGACATTTGGGTCAAAGGAAGATGGAGTGTGTGTTTGTGCTTGTGTCTGTGTATCCATTTGTATTTCCACCATTAAAAAACTCCATTGATTAGCCAGTAGGAAGCACTTCATAAATGTGTCATAACTTCCCATTTCTTTATGGCATCGCCCCTTTCTTTATGCTCTGTGACATCAGATTTCCTTAGTTCCACTTCCAGAATCGTTTGCACTGGACCTTCTGAAGAAGATTTCAAGTGGATCCTAGAATGAAGATGTAGAGATGATGCGAGGTCTTCAATAGGCAAAAGACCACTGGGCTCCAGAGGGAGAGAGAGTCGTGAAAAGGACCCCAACTCCTTTGCGCAGCAATATATTTTGGAGAGAAAAAGAGCCAAGTAGAACTAAAGATGCTGCATATTGTTATTCTGTCAGCTCATGTGTCTCCTGAACATGCAATTCAGCCCAACACATTTGTGGTTGGCACCTTCAGAGGTAAAGCCATATCTGAATCCCACCCGCTTTTACATATTAAAATAGATTCCTCTTATGTCCACACCCTACTTTGGGGGAACCTAGAAAGCCAATCTGCTTGTATTTTCAGTAAAACTTCTATCTGGTTGTGAATGCAAATTGGGGAAATGCCAAAGAGGATAAAAATTTCAGAAAATAGGAAGGATATAAATTAAATAAATAAATAAATAAATAAATAAATATAGATAGCAGGGGAAGTATGCAAATAGATCCTATTTGCATTTTGCCAAATGTGCGCTAATTGTATCATACATCCCAGTGGTCATACATCCCTTCCTCCAAAGGGCCACCCTTTATTTCAGAAAGCTGCCCTTTATATTTATTTTCTAAATAATTAAGTATTTATTTTCTTGGTTTAGCTCCTGATATTCCTTTTGTAAAGCAACGTTACAAACATTTTTTTAATCCTTATGATCAACTTTCAGATTTGTCCCTTTTTCCCCCCAAGAAAATATGTTCACTCTGTAAAGTTCTTTTTGTGGTCTCAGCTTGAGTGCTAATAGTCCATCATTCAGAGATAATTCTGCACATTGTTTCTAGAATATCCCACATTTAACACTCTATCAAGTAGTGAGAACACCTACTATCAGAATGAGTAAAGGTAATTAGGCCAAATTAAGGAATACAGTATTTCCCAGACTGCTGTTTTTTGGATTATCAGACTACATCGCCCGTAGTCCCCAACTAAGTCATATCAGATAGCTCCATTAATGCCATTCATCACTTCTTGAGCTAACTATGCCCTATTCTGCTACAGCAAGGGTCTCCAAACCTGGCAACTGTAAGACTTTTGGACTTCAACTCCCAGAATTCCCCGGCCATCATGTTCCTCCGACTGAGGAATTCTGGGAGTTGAAGCCCACAAGTCTTAAAGCTGCCTAGTCTGGCGATCCCTGTCCTATAGCAATGTTTCTCAACCTCAGCAACTGTAAGATATGTGGACTTCAACATCCAAAATTCCTCCGCCAGGAGGGCAGGGGAATTCTGGGAAATGAAATCTAATACATTTTAAAGTTGTTGAAGTTGAGGAACACTGTGCTACAGCAATCAGGTTGGCAACTGGCGCTGCCTTATTGTTTTAATACGGGCCAAATTTTAAAAAGTGACTGGTAGATTTCCTACCAGTTTCCACCATGAAGGTTTACCTGCCACTGAGTAAACTACCATCAATTGCTGACTCCAGTGTGGAGTGGGGCAGGTAGATGGATGTTCTGGATTCAGAGATCCTCCATGGCTATGACCTTTCAGTCAGTTTTATTCTGAAAGTAAGTCTAGTGCTCTTCTGAAATTCAGAACTTTTGAGTACCACAGATTGCCCATCTTTATCAGGTCACTGCAGAATTCAGAGGTTTTATTAAGCATAGATTTTACACCTATCTATTTACTGATTTTGATGCGTCTCATCTACTTCTGCCCCAGGCATAAACATTTCCAGATTTTTCTTGTAAGCTCCTCATCTCTGTTTGGAGGTTGGCGTAACTGGAACCCCATCAGCATTTCTGGTACAGGTGGCCTGGCCTGAGGCCACCAAAACTGTGGTAGATGTATCCCAGAGGTCCATTTGCTCCTGGAAAAAGGAGATGGTTACTTTTGAAAGAACGTAGAGATTGGTCAATCAGCCACGCTATTCATGTGGCCTGCCAGAGCTATGCTTGTAAGAGGCAAAACATCAGGAAACGGCTGGAATTAATTCAAAGGAATTCTTTTTTTTTAGGCATTGAAAGGAGCACAAGAGTTGTGCAGAAGGACCAGAATCCAATTTGGAATGAGGTAAACTAGACAAGGAAGTTAAGAAATGTCCTGGAAACCATTTTCTTTACTATTGCTTTGAAAGTTCTCTGTATATACCATAAAGTTACCAGAACTGGAGCTAGGATCAATGAAGTCTATGTTTTTCCTAAACTCCTTAATCCTGGTGACAGTCTCAGTTTTTGAGTTAGTTCCCTCCTAATATCTTCATTTTTGAAAAAAAATCCTTAATAAGGGGCTTAGAAAGGGGAAGGAGAAATATTACAAAACACAGTTTACAACTCTCCAGAATCAGCTTTGATGATGAGGCATTTCAAATTAACTCAGGGCTTACAGTGGCTCAATCAGCACATTTATCAGGTTGAAAACTAGAGAGGATCTCCAGAGTCATTTTATTCATCCCAAATCTAACAAGATACAGAAAGTCACTGGTCTCTTAGGTTTCAAATAAGCCAGGAACCAATTGTAGGAGAAATTTCTCTTTTAGGAGTTTGTTTAATAATGGAGACCAGAAACTCATCCATAGAAGGGCAAATTGCAATTTATTATTGTAGAAACTTAAAAGGGGCAGGAATACACCCCCATTATGTGGCTTTATACAAACCAAAATATATGTGTAATCCATAAGAACGAAGAATGCAGAAAATATACATTAGAACATGGTTTAGTGATAGAAGAGAACATTGATAGCTGAGGGTTGAACTGGGAGATTCTTGGTGTTCTCCACGCTTGTTGGTTTTCTTGCAGACTAGTATGTAGCACGGATGATGTTACCTAGTTTGGCAATAAAATGTCTGCAAGAAAACCCTCAAGCTCTGAGAGCAACAAGGATCTATAATACAAGGACCTCTCTGATGTTTCTGTTCCTTTCTGTTGTCTTCCTAGCCCAGGGGTAGGCAACCTTGGCTCTTTTATGACTCGTGGAATTCTTTGTGTTTGCCCTGCAGACTTTGCTGTGGTATCTGGATGAGGAGCTTCTGGACAACAGTTCTTTTGCCACAGTTAAACTCCTTGAATGGGGCACGAAAATTCAAAACAGGTGAATCATGGAAAGAAGGATCTGTACAATTAGGTTGTCCGACATGGGGACAAATCTGCTGTTTAACTCCAGCCAGCTTCTTCCTTGCTTCAGCCCAAAGAGTGCTGTCCAGTTCACTCCCTTTCATTGCATGCAAAAGCTTCCAGAATAGCAGAATAACAGAGTTGGGACCTTAGAGGTCTTCTAGTCCAACCCCCTGCACAATCAGGAGACCCTATAGTACCATTTCAGACAAGTGACTGTCTAAAGATTAGACAGTCTTCCTAAAAAACCTCCAGTGATGGAGCCTCCACAACTTTCAGAGGCAAGCCATCCCTTCTTCCTCCTAATCCAACTAACCCTGTGGTTGCTACTAGTAACCTCTCTTTCTTCAAAGCTGCTTCTTGACTTTTCCGCTTCTCCCCAACTTTAGTGATTTTGGCAGTGCAGATATATCCTTAGGAGGAGCAGCTGAAAAACCAAATGTTATGATTATGAAGAAGAATCAAAGCCTGCGGAACAACAGTCTGCAGCCAACTGGGGTAAGTCAGGAAGGAAATAAAAATAATGTATTAAACTTGAAGTGCTTTGCTGGGAACTGCGATGAAGACTGGATGTTCACCAACATTGTGGTAATCTCAGAATAAAGATGTTGAAGTATTTTCTGGGGTGCTTCAGGTTGGCTTTTCTGCCTTTTATTAGTGGAATTCAGCCTCTCTTCAGGGCTGCTAAAAAATCTTTTTCCCTATCAATATCAATACAAGCAGGAAACTTTTAATCAGCTGTGAAACCGTCTATTCACTGCCTCTGTTTTCATTTCCAAAATATTAAAGCAGAAGGTTTGCTTGAAAAGGGGAATTGCCCCCCCCCCCAAAAAAGGTTGGTTTTTCTCATCATGTAGAAATCTATTCGTAAGTGGGGATAGATACCATACTTTAAAAAGAAAAACACAGCCAGATTTGCTTTTTACCTATGCATAAATTAAAAAGAGTTCTTGTGATTTTTATGCTTTCAGTGCTCCATAACTCTAAAAATCTGCTTCTCACCACCGGAACCTAAAATGGTGGCACACAGAAGAAAACACGATTTAAAGAAATTGAGTAAGTATTGGGTATTTATTTGGGGGGACTAAAGTATGTTTTGCTTGGAATTTGCATGGATTTTAATTTCCGATTCCTTGTCTGGACTGTTTTGAGCTCTTCGTGTTTAGAAAAAAGTAGGTGTTTTGTAACAAAAAGAGATATGGGTAAAATCTGTGTGTGCTCCTGTTAATGAATTGGAGTAAAAGAAAATCAAATCAAAATCAAATCAAAACTTTTTATTATGATCATAGATCAGAAAGTTGTTTGGGGTTAAGATTCCTGTGTATTTGGGGCTGAGTGTAGGGGTCAGCATGAAGTCCCTGAGCATTCACACTTGACATGGTCTATTGGTGAAGGGTGTTCGATTAATTATAGGAAGACCCAGGTTTTAGACTTTAACCATAGAAATTCCCTGGAGGACTTTGACCATTCTTCTTTCAAGAGTTATAATTTGGAGAAAACTAGGAGGAGATAGTGCTATATATGCTGCCCTGATCTTCCAAAAGAAAAGTGAGAAATAATTCTAATAAATAAATATTTGAGAGCTTAAGAAGAATGTCCCACATAAATGTCAAGTGTTGATAATGGTGCTTCTTGGCCTCTCCCGCAGTCTGTTGCCCCGTCTTTGCCAAGGCTTCTGGCATAGAAGAATTTACTCTGAAAGAAACCGAGGGGGCTCAAGTCCCAGCCCCAACATCAACCCCCATGAAAGAGCTTTCCAACAAGAAGCAACTGTTCCAGGTAACGCAACAGCTCACTCCGCTCTTGATACTTGAAAGAAAGAAATACATTGAGAGGACTGGTGATTTTTCAGCAGATGTTATTTCTGTTGCAATTCTTGTAAATGGAAATGGATCTTTAATGAAGTCCAAACACCACCAATCATTTATTTCAAACATGGTCTCACCAGTGCAGTGTAAAGCTGTACTATCACTTAACAGAATAACAGAGTTGGAAAAGACCTTGGAGGTCTTCTAGTCCAACCCCCTGCTCAAGTAGGAACCCTAGACCAGTTCAGACAAATGGCTGTCCAATCTCTTCTTAAAAACCTCCAGTGCTGGAGCACCCACAACTTCTGAATGCAAGTTGTTCCATTGGTTAATTGTTCTGTCAGGAAATTTCCTCTTAATTCTAGGTCGCTTCTCTCCTTGATCAGTTTCCATCCATTGCTTCTTGTCCTGCCTTCAGGAGCTTTGGAGAAGAGCTTGACTCCCTCTTCTCTGGGGCAGCTCCTCAAATATGAAAACACTGCTATCGTTTTACCTCTACTCCTAATTTTAATTAAACGAAATCCTTTTCATTAAAGCATGAAGACTTTCATTAATCTATAAATAACTATTTATTATTCTCAATGTTCCAGAAACGTGTTAACTCTTTAGGACCCTCGTATTAAACTTACAAGAGCTAATCTTCAAAAACCTGAACAATAAATAGATGGCTGCAAAATGGTCAAGTTTCCTGTGTCTCTTCAGGGACATGTCATGGTCATCCCGATTTTTACAGACCATGTATGGTGGTGCTAAATTGGAATGACACGTTCCTGGAAAAATGAACATTTCTGTTTTCCTCAGGAAAAAAAAAAAACAGTTCCTGCCACCAGATCATCCCGTTTTCATGCTACTGGCCACTTGCACACAAAGCTGGATAACCAGTGGTGGGATTCAAATAGGTGAACAACCAGTTCTCTGTGTGGATGCCACTTCCAGAAGTCCATTCTGGGCCTGGGCAACAAAAAATTAGCTACCGGTTCTGCCAAAGTGGTGTGAACCGGCTGAATCCTTCCACTGTGGATAACCCACAAAAGTTCCTAAAGCATTTGGACAAACTTCATCAGAACATGAAATGGTGCATCTTCTGAGAAGGCTTTCAGGATGGGACTGACCAGCCATTTCTCCCTTGCAGGTGCGAGTTGTAATCATTGAATGTCGACAACTGCAAGAAAACAACGTCAAACCAGTGGTGAAAGTAACTATTGGAGATTATACATTCCGGACAAGAATCAGACGTGGAAACAATCCATATTATAATGAGGTTAGCATTCTGGACATTATTTTCTGGGATTTGAAGATTTTTCACAAGCATTTTACTCTGTTAGGAAAAGACGAAGCTAATGAATATTCAATGAATTGAACTGTAGCTCCAGGATCCCAAAGCTGCTTTTTCACGAGGCAACTGGACTTTCTTGTTTTTCTTTGAAGACGTTTTGCTTCTCACCCAAGAAGTTTCTTCAGCTCCTTGGATGAGAAGCCAAACGTCTTCAAAATAAAACAAGAAAGTCCAGTTGCTTCGTGAAAAAGCACCTTTGAGGTAACTATGACCTGGATGACTGAGAATCTCCATAGACATGTAGCTCCAGTGAATTGGTGGTCACCAAGAACAGAGCTGGATTTAAGGGTATCTATACCTCTTTTCTTTTTAAACAGCACTTAAGGTATGAATTTGCAACATAGGCCAACCATGTAACTCAGTGTGGCAGCCATCACTTGTGGTCAGAGAAAGCCACAGTCAACAAAATGTTGCGTCCCCAAATGGTCAGGAAATATGGAAAATTGCCTTACATCTAATCTATCTCTTGGCTTCTATAATTCAATATCATCTTCAGTAACAACAGAATGATTTTCTATGATACCCAATAGGACATCTTTAACAATTTTATCCAGAGAGGTTTACGATTAAACCCAATTTTTTGTCAGGTGTGCTAGATGTATTCTAACACTCATCTGCACACATGTAATAAACCTAATGAAAAAAAATTGTGATACAGAGCACTTAAACTGAAAGAAAAATAATATTTTAAGATAATGATCGGACTGGGAATCAATGTCCACCTCCTTGCTTTTCAGTATTGTTCTGTTTCTGCTGTGCAACTTTTGTTGGAGAAAAAAAAGTGGCCTTCTAAAAATGGCACTTGCTTCTTAATGACCAAAAGCATGTTTCTGCTTTCAAATAGTCATCAAAGGCCAGTCTAAAGCCCATTCTTATGCAGAACTGCAAGAAAATAACATTAAACTTTGGTTTGCTTATCCTGTAGACCTTCGTCCAAAATTTCAATGAGACACCTCTTCGACTTTTTGATCAGTTTATTACCATACAGGTAAGCAAGCAAATTCTGTTCCTCGTGCCCTTTTTTGGACATCTCAATTCCATTATGGATCTTCTTGTGCTTCCTTTCTGGAAACGATCATGAAATATTTGTCCTGGCCAAGATGAAGCTGCATTGCAGCAGCAGCAGAAACAGCACTAAAAATGGAATCTAAGAACAGCCACCTTGAGCCCAACAGAACTCCAGATGGGACAAGAGCAACAAATTAAAAATGAGCATCCAGATGTTATTCCAACCATGGAAGCTGTACTAAATTACTGTTGGCGCTACCTTTGCTTCATTTTGCCACAGTTGTTCTACTTCTATGTGCAGGCTTTTGTAGTCTGATATCTTCTCCAGTTCTTTCTCTTCTCTTCTATTATTATAATAAGTAAGTTTTATAATGGGAATTTCTACATGATCTTAAACAGGTGCTGAACTCTCGAGCTGTCAGAGCAGATGCATTCATTGGTGTCTTCAAGGTGAGCAACTGCTACTTTACTGCTGACCAGATTTACAAACTTGGTAGACTTCTAGACTTTTTAACAATGCTTAGTCAATGCTTTCTGGTCTGCTATCTTGCCTATTATCCTAACATCAGGTCAATTATTTTTCTTGTTTAATCTGTCAACGAAACGTTTAGCCTGTCAACCCAACATGGAAACTAATCAAGCAGAGAAGCAATCTAGCACTAAGAAGAAATTTCCTAACAGTGAGAACAATTAATCAGTGGAACAACTTGCCTCCAGAAGTTGTGGGTCCTCCGTCACTGGAGGTTGATGAGATTAGACCACCATTTGACTGAAATAGTATAGGGTTTCCTGCCTGAGCAGGGGGCTAGACTAGAAGACCTCCAAGGTTCCTTCCAGCTATGTTATTTTATCTTCTTCCCCCACCCTGCCCCAGAAACACTCAATACCATAAAATATCTAATGTTGATCTTCCCAAGCTTGGGGAAAGTCAGACAGGAGCAAAAGAACACAAAGAACTTCTGACTTTTTTCTATGCAGTAGCATTCTTTAAAAAAAAAAGTTAGAGCCTCAAGCTTTTATCTTACATCTCAAAATATTTTAAGCCATTTCTGTAAAAACTTCCATTTCAAATTTCAATAAAATTTCAGTCTTCATTTTTTTAAAAAAGAAAAAAATCCAAATGGTACCACTGGAAAATTATTATCATTTTATATAATGTTTTTGTAACTCTTTTTTTTTTTTTGCTTCCTGGGCCCTTCCAGTGACTTATGCCATTCTTTTTGCAGATTGAGATGGGGCTTGTATATGACTCTCCAGGTACGTGCTCCATTTTTACCTCATGGAAGGTAGGATGAGGATATGAGATTTTCCCTGTCACATGACATCTATTTGTAGTCCTCTGGAGTAGGGGTCTCCAAACATGGCAACTTTAACCCTTGTGGACGTCAATTCCCAGAATTCCCCAGCTAGCATAACTGGCTGGAGAATTCTGGGAACTGAAGTCCACAAGTTGTAAAGTTGCCAAGTCTGGAAATCCATGCTCTAGATGTTCTTTCATTTTGTAAAGACCAAATCTACTTTGAGTTGGGGTAGCGCCCAAAAACATGTGGCCATCAGCTTTTTTGAAATCAACAGTAGAATGGTTTGCCATTGTCTTCTTCTGAGATTCTTTTTGAAGAAGCTGGAGGTCTCCCACCAGGTCCAGAAAGGGTCCAGACATCTCCTATGGTTTCTCCTATGTACTTTGTCTTCTTCTGTTGACGGGGGAATGAATACCTTTCCAGATGAAGCATGGCTGCAGATATCTTAGTTAGAACCTTGAGATCAAGATAATATTAAAAGCACAGAGCACTTAAATTTCTAGTGTGTTGACTTCCCATTGAATTTATTGTCTTAGTTTAAAGAATGCCTTTCAAAAAATGAAATTAGCAGAGAGCTAGTTGGATACCATTAGATGTGTCCATACATTAGGGCCAATAAATATTTCCATACCTAAATCATGACTAGCATTCATGATCCCTGGAATTTTAATCTAGCATTTTAATCACTAGACTAAACACAAAAATAGTTTCTGCCAATCAGGGACCATATAAAGGCAAGTTGTGTCACATGGCTGAATAATCAATTAGATTTGGCTGTGTGGATATGAGTAGGGTTAACTGAGGACAATTTAGAGCATTGGTGTCAAACTCGCCGCATTACATGACACGTCGCGACGTATCGCAACTTTTTTTGCATTGCCAGAGCTGGCGTGGGCACAGCCTCTGCATGATGCAACTGATTTAGAGTGAAGGCAAGTGTGGGTCAGTATATTTGTTATTTCCTTTCTTTAGGTCATGCTTTGATTAACAAATGGTTGAGCCTCTATGATCCAGTGAATCTCAACGCTGGATTTAAGGGCTATGTGAAGGTCACCCTTTGTGTCCTGGGAGCTGGGGATCGTGCACCGGTAAAGATCTTCTTGTTTTAATATAGTCAGCAATATAACATCATAATCCAGGATCGTTGAATATGATGCTAGGTATTAAACTGTTACATAAAAATGGAAAGATAAATATGTTGGGCATCAGTAAACATGTTTATGTGAGGCTGGTATCTTCATTAGATCAAAAAATAGCATGCAGTCGAGGGAGGGAAGGAGGGAGGGAGGAAGGAAGGAAGGAAGGAAGGAAGGAATATCAATAAAGGTAGCTCTAGTGATCCTGTGGAGTTGATTTTTCTGGTCTGGTCTTCCTGGTGGGATTGACAGGTTCTCATTTGGCCATGAAGCTCATTAGATGACCACTTTGGTCTAATTAAACAGAATGTTTGATGTTTCACTTAATGATCCTGTCACTTAGCAATGGAATTGCCAATCCTTATTGTGGTTGTTAAGCAAGGGCTACCTATATACCTAGTCCAATGTCTTCATCACCACTCTACCTTTTCCTCATGAGCTCACAGTGATATTCATAGCTTTTCTTCCTTCTAATTCTCTCCATAACCTCCCTACAAGGTACGTTGGGCTAGAGATACTGACTCATGGTCCAAAGTCATTAAGGAAATGTCCTTGAAATGAGATAGACTGGAACCTGGATCTTCTTCTCCAACACAACATCACATCAGAATCTAGAACATTCAATTGAGTTTCTGTGGGAGGAGATCTATGAATGTTGCTTACAGATGGATTGATTCCTTCTTTACTCTCTGTAGGATCTGGACCAGCCAGCAGAGACTGGTGATTTAGAATCCAACCTCCTCCAGCTAGCAAGTGTGCCAGCTGCACGCACAGCCTCCCTCCAGCTGTACATCTACCGAGCAGAAGATGTTCCACAGAGTAGGTGCTCAAGTCAACAAACCATCCCTTTGTTCTACTGAGGAAATTAATGGCTCTGCCAAAGACAGGAATCTGGCTGTGGGTGCAAGAATGAAGGGGTGGCAATTCTAGTGTTTCTGACCATGTATGGTTGTTGTGGAACATTCATTCAGCCAGAGAGCCAAAAGAGACTGGAGATAATTTGCTTCCTGTAGAGAGCAGAGGTTGTAATATCAGGGGTCTTTGGTGCTCTCCGAGCTTGGTTGTTTTTATGCAGACATTTCATTACCCAAACTAGATAACACCATCAGTGTTAGTGCTTGCCCTGTCAGAATTAATGGAGTGATCTTGCAGGTTCTACTGCCCCAATGGCAGTTGGTTGGACCATTTACTGTTATCTTCTTTGGCAGTTCTTGACTGAGGCATTGTTTGCTTCTTGACTGATCACTGCATAAGTCCTAATATCTTGAAATACAGTTGGCTCCAAAGCATTTGAAGGGAGTGGGAGGTCAACTCTGCCAATTTAACTTTATGAAAAGACTGTATGAAGATGTTCTTCTCTAGTCTGGTATCCATTCCTTAAATGGGGTCGAGAATCTACAGTCAATAGGGGCCTTAAAGCCACCCAGAAACTCTTTTATGGTCTTGGAGCTGCCCCAGAGTATCCCGGCAGTTGGAGAAGCCAACAAACAAAGTCTCAACCAACCATGGAATTTACAATTACAATTATAATTAATTGTTAATGGTCTCATCATCTATTTCAAATGCATCTAGTCTCTGCATAGCCACCTTATCTTCCATCTTCCTTCTTTCCATTTTCTATCCACAACCTAGTTATCATAATACATTTTTATTAGTTTATCAAAATATAAAATACAAAGAGAAATGTTAAAAAGTAATAGAAAACTAGGAGGGGGGATGGAAAAAGAAAGAAAATATGGTGTAAAGAGGGAAAAGGAAAGGAAAGGAAGCACCAATTTCCAACATCCCAGTTTAAATCCTGCTTCGGACAAGCCACTCTGTGCAAGACATAAGCAGAGAGTTAAAAGGCCCCCTAATTCCCCCCAGACCTTAATAAAGTGGGATGCTAAAAATAAGCCTATTCCTTATTTTTTAATTAGCCTTTTGCTTGATCTTCTTTGCAGTACAAGATGGCATGGTGGCACCTTTCACAGCATCATCTGTGGATCCCTTCAGCATATCTGTGGACCCTTCTCTGGAAGTTAACTTTGCAGGGAGAGTGGTGGGTGTGGACTAGAAGACCTCCAAGGTCCCTTCCAGCTCTATTCTGTTCTGTTCTGTTCTGTTCTGTTCTGTTCTGTTCTGTTCTATTCTATTCGATCTCTGTTTTAGAAGTCAGGGGGACATTTTGCTGGATTATTACTTTGCCTGTCTGCCCCTGATTGATTTGCTTTCTTTCTCAATTATGTCCAGCTAAGGACCAAGGTCATTTTTGGAGACACCAATCCTGTGTGGAACCAGGTGCTCTGTTTCCCCATGCAGGTAAGCCGGAGAGAAAGGACTGGCTGTCACTGACTGCAGGCTAAATTTATCAATAAGCAGGAGAACGCCCATGCATATACTTCTTTTCTGACTTGGGTCTCCCATTGCTCCATTTATTGGGTCCCATGTAAAGGTAACAGAAGATTGAGAACAAAAGCAGCGAACCCATGTAGTCCTTGAGTTAGAAGCATAATGGAGCCCGCCTGTCATCATTGTGACACATAACAGTCATGAATGAGGTCACCCATGTGACCAACCCACCCAATTTTGCAACATCTTCCATTCTGTTCTGGAGTTTGGACATGAGAAAGTATGGGAATTCTCTCTCACCCATGAAGATTTCCCTGGTGAGGGACACTGAAAATGTTATTAACCATTGTATACCTAACTTCATGGAGAACTTAGTCACAGCCACCTTCTACAAGGGTTAATAACATATTCTGTCAAGAAAACCCCTGCGATGCAGTCACCAAGAACCAAAGAAGCTTCAAGGGAGCCTTGTTTTTATTTTTATTTTGTATTTTCACTGTAGTTGCCTTCTATCTGTGATCTCATTAAGCTCACTATTATGGATGGGTGAGTACCAGCAATTTCTGTTATTTCTGCACTGCAATACTGTATAAAATCTTGAATGTTTGTCCCGAAGCATTTGGATAAAGCATATCCTGGTATTTTTCAAACATGATGTGTCATGCATGCTACCATTGGAAGCAGCAGGAATAGAAAAGAAGACTCATTATAGTTTTTCTGTTTTAAATTGTAAATCATCCAGAGTCGTTCTGCAATCAGTCAATCTGCAAAGCAAAGCAAAACAACCATTATACACACACACACACAAACACACACACACACACATACTTTTTAGTCCTCTGTCTGCTATTCCCCATGACAAATCAATTTCTTCATGATGAAGCTTTTTTTAATTTATTTTTTATTGAAAAAACGATACTGGAGTTCTATTGAACATTTTAAGCAAAAATTTCAATAGCCCTTAACAGTTATCTGGTAAAAATAAGACAATGTGATGGTATCAGAATCACTGAAAGGGGAGTTGCAGTTATGGTCAAACACGATCAGCAGAAATCTGCTTTATTTCACTGCCTGTAATTGAGAAGCAGCCTTTCCTGTTTACACTATATATATATAATTATTTTTAAAGAGCGATTGTTGTCCCCAATTCGGGTCTGAGCCGGATGCTGCGGCCAATGGAGAACACCAGACACGGGATGGAGGTTTTGTTTCCTTTTATTGAAGTGCTCCAAGAAAAGGGGTCCTGGCCAAAATGCCAAGGGACCTTGAACGATAGAATTAAGAAAACTTTATACATTTTCACCAAAGCAGAAGGTGGGATAAGGTGGGATATATAAGAAATATCATCTCATAAACATTTTAACAATGATCTAACAATTATTCTGTCCATCTCTAGTCATCCCTATTCCCAAGCCTTGGCTAATGAATGCTTCAGGAGTTATCTAATACACATCCTGTTTGCTCCAGGCCAGCTCTATTCCTAACTTTTAGCTGAGCTATACAAGATGGCTAACTCTTGGTTACTTTTACCAGTTTTCTAACCACCCAGAATTGTTACAAGCTTTACACATGCATATTCCCTGTGAATAAGCATTCTTATTCAAGGTTTGGACAAAACTCAGCAGCACTTTTTCGTGCGGCTGCTGATAAAAACGGGATCGCCAACATGATCACCAACGTCCGATAATGGATATGGCAGAAGAAGAAGAAGAAGAAGAAGAAGAAGAAGAAGAAGAAGAAGAAGAAGAAGAAGAAGAAGAAGAAGAAGAAGAAGAAGAAGAAGAAGAAGAAGAAGAAGAAGAAGAAGAAGAAGAAGAAGAAGAAGAAGAAGAAGAAGAAGAAGAAGAAGAAGAAGAAGAAGAAGAAGAAGAA